TATTTAGTTTTCATAGGCCTCTAATCTCATTATTCCTTGTTTTGTCTAGTATTTCTAGGTTATTCTTCTTGGTATTTTCATTTCATTTACCTCCAATTCTCCAAATATCTTCTTGTCGTGCTTGTGTCTAGTCTTGTTTTTGCGTTAAATATCATTACATGGCGTATTACAAACTTGTATATTAGCTCTTTTTGTTTTCTTTTTCAGGTGTCTGTTTCTCCATATTGTATTGTTACGAAATCTCGCTGCTCTGCTTGCTTTTGACACTTCCCTTACTTTCTCTTCATCCCTATTGTCGCTCGATGTTCAATTACGAATTAATCCCTTAATTTGTGATTATTTTTTTCCGTTAATACCGGGAGACATTCTCTCTCCTATTGCCGACCAGAATGTATCTTCCACTATTTTTTAAATAATCTTAAACTGTTTGTCCTTGTTTAGGTAGTGTTATGTTTAATTGTATGTTTAATTTTAAGTTTATGACATTCTGCAATTGTTAGATAGCCCAAAATTAGACGAAATGCCCCTGAAGATGCTTTAGGAAGCGAAAGTACTTGGGAAAGATTTAATTATAAAACGTTGCTCGATATCTGCCTTTCATTTTATTAAAATTCATTTATTCGAGAATTCAACCTTAAATCAATTTTATAGTTTCACCGTATATAATTGAAAGATTGTGAAACATATTATTATGAAACAATGTTAGGACGAAAGTCGGAAGTAAGCAGTCTGTGTAACTTGAGGTATTTGTCTAAATATGACAGTAGCTACCAATATTTAAAATTAAAAAAGTTAAAATTATAATAAAATAACAATAGTAACCTTCAATGTTGTACTTTGAATGATAAATTTATCCTAAATATGCGTTAAGACAATTGATTTTTTTTTATTAATGTAGGTGGACTGAAGTTTGGTAAAGTTTTGTGGGTACTGATAGGCAACCAATTATACAAATATCTAAATTAAGTGGTGGTAAACTAAAGATTTTTACAAAAGGCCCTTTATGTTTTTGCAACATTTGGTACCTGTTAAATGGAAAAACAGATATATGTAGGAAGTTGAGTTCTTTAAATTTTATTGTTTAAGAGTGAAATGGTAAATGATGTATTTAAAAGTGATATTGAGATGAAGTGTAAATAGAATAAAATTTTTGTAATGTACTGTACATGTACTTAACTTATAACTTAAGAATGGAAGGCCCTCTATGTTAAAAAGTTACCTGGGGAAATATAAAAATATAAGTTATAAGTTCATGAGCATAAGTAACTGATTAAGTGTTTAAGGATAAATTTGATTAGATGTTATTATGTGTTAACAAAATAGATATAACAAACAAAAAATTGATGGCCCATAGGTGGTTTTGTAATATATTGTTCGTTATAGTACTCAACTTATAACAAGAAGAAAAGGTCCTATATATTAAAATAAACTGCAAAAGTAGATGGGTTGTAGGTGGCTCTGTTAAATTTAAACTAATAATATATGATGTTTTAATATTGATGTGAGAAGAGAAAAGACTCTACAAGAGACTGAGATCTACAGAGACCCGAAACCATACCTTGAGGGGTTAAGTCCATATGTGGATATGTGGCTAAGTAAAATAAAGTGTGGTATAAAGAAAGATGAACAGGTAATGATCTAGTTAAGCAGATATGTGGGGATTACTGTATACTATAAATTGTATGTGTTCTTAATGGGTGAAAAATTGAATGTTGTGTGATTATATTAATTGATGTAGGAGGTGGTCAAAAAGATTAATTGATTTAAATACTATGTTACTAAGGAGTTATGATTGATAAGCGGAGATTTAGATGTGTGGATCACGAAATTATCTGGATATATGGATATGCAGGTGAAGTTGTATGATTGTGAATGGTTTAAGAGGTGAAGTAGAATAATATGATCTGAATTTAGTTGTGTCGAAAAGGAGCATGGAGAACATTAGGCATAGGGGTCAGACTTAAAAGTTTTGATCCTAGAAAGAAGTGGGGAAAGATGGAAAGTTAGATGCATTGAAAGATATGTTTAGAGTGGACTGAGGAAGATGAATGACAAGATAAGAATGGTCAATGTAAATTTTAATGTAGTAGTACAAATTGAGGGTGTGGGTCATGAGAATAGTTGGCGATGGGGTGGAAGGAAGTCTCGATTGATTAAGACATGGCGATTAACAAAATTTGGACGTCTCTGTTTTTCTTTGATAATTTCAAGATCTTCATATTTCAAGTCTAGTTTGAGAAAGTTTTTTTGGGGAATATTGTGAATAAGTGATTCGTCTTCTGGGATATTGAGGGTGTGGTTATGTTCTTTTAGATGTTGAGAGAACGTAAGTGTTTTGTCTTTTTGTGTGCCCTAGAGAGCATAAGAACAGAGTTCTTTCCATAAGAACAGAGTTCTTTCTATGTAGGTAGCATCACAATCTGAACATTTTAGTCTATAAACACCACTAAGATTCATATAATTGATATACCTTGAAATTAGATATACACTGACCCAAATTATTGAGACTTTAAAAGAAACGTGGAAGTTTTCAGCTGAACGTTTAATGAGATTTCGAAGATATCCAGAAAGACTCTCGTGATAATATGGAAGTGAAACTTCTCGTATTTGTCTGAGAATATTAAACATTCTTTTTATAGTTTGACTGAGAAAGTGGAATGGTTTCCAGGCGATGGATGTAACTGTGAAAAGCTGCGTATTTGTGTGGCATAGGGTGGTTAGACAAGAAGTGTATTACATGGTCGGTCTATGTGGGTTTCCTGTGGATAATGAAGTCGAAGTCGTCATTTAATCTGATAATGGTGGGATAAAGAAAATTTATTGACTGGGATGATTCTAGTTCCATGGTGAACTTAATATTGGGGTGGATTTGGTTAATTTTAGAAAGTACGTATCATCATCATCCAGCCGATTTTTCACATCCATTGTTGGATATAGGCCTCCTCCAAACGTCTCCAGTTCTCTCTATCTCTAGCTGCTGCAATTCAGTTTGTTTCTATTCTCTTTAGGTTGTTGGTCCATCGGGTGGGTGGTCTGCCTCGACTTCGCTTGTCGGCTCTTGGTCTCCACTCCAATAATCTCTTCGTCCATCTTCCGTCTTTCATTCTAGCAACATGTCCAGCTTAGAAAGTACTAATTCAGCTGAATTGGAGTTATCTGAAATAAAGACTAAACAGTCAACAAAGCGAAAACTAATAGAGTATTTCAGGATTTTTTATGATCTGTATGGATTCTAAATGATCCATAAATGTATCAGCTAATAGTGGAGAGAGACCGCTGCCTATGGCTAAGCCATCAGGTTTAGTGTAGTATTTGTTGTTAAAAACAAAGAAATCTTGATTTAAACAAAGTTGTAATAGTTGGACAATGGAGTTGGTAGTGGAGAAGTAAAGGAATTGGCTCTTAGAAGAGAGTGAACCAGATTTATTGTTTCTTGTTTAGAGACAGACGTGAATAGATTGAATGGACCATCTCCAATTACAGATGACTGATGTTTTTGACTGAGAAGGGGGGTGGGTAAAGTTCGTCATGTTGTTAATAAGATTCAATATAAATTTTAATATGATGGAAACTAGAGTGTTTATGAAACTAACAACTGAACGAATTGGAATGCCCTCCTTATGCATCGTAGGTAAAGCTTACAGCCTGGGTGTTAATGGGTTGCTGGGAAGTTTGTAGTATGGTGTAAAATGTTCAGAGAAAAAATCTGTAAAGTGTTTAATATTTTCTATTAATTTATTTATAAACTTTTTTGAGGGGTTTGGGGAACAGTTTGACTTCTCAATAATTAATCTTCTTTCTAATGATCTTTTAATCTTCTCTTACATCAGCGTACACAGCGTATTTATAGATACTTCAATGTTCGCGAATATTCACGAAAGAAAAGAGATTAGATTCTTCTATTTTGTAAATATTTCAATGTTCGCGAAAATCCTCAAACGAAAAGAGGTTAGATTATTTCTATTGACGTCTTATTTTAAACTTCTAGATAGTTCTTTACTTTTCTATTGAGAATTTTTGTAAATTTAGGTTTTGCAGATCAGAATGTAAACTTATACTTATATAAATTAAACATCTTAAATTATATATATATATATAAATATTTATATATATATATATATATATATATATATATATATATTGTTCTGATTCTAAGATATCCAAGGCAAATCACAATTAGAAGAATAAATTAATATAATGTAATAATTTCACTAAAACTAACACGGAAGTTTTGCGAGAAATGGGCAAAGAATGCGAAATAATAAACATAATAAAGGCAATACAGCTAAGGCTGATAATACAGGAACAGAGGAGGAAGGAGTATAGGAAGAAGGAGATGTGTCATGGTTGAAGAATTTAAGGGACTGGTTTAAATGTAGTTCAATGGAACTCTTTAGAGCAGCAGTAGATAAAGTAAAGATAGTGATGATGATATCCAACCTTCGATGATAAAGAAGAAGATATTTCACATGCCCAAGGTGTTCATAGTGATAATGAAAAATATCTTAATAATCTTTTCATCATTATTTATTTTTAAGTAAATATTCGATTGTCTTGAGTCTTGAATCCAATTTGTTATTTTATTTCTTGTTATTACTCGTATTCAATGATTTATTATCTAACTTTTAGATTTTTAATTATTTATTATCTAAGCAGTGATGATCGTTGCAATGCTGCATGTTTGTTGTCTAATAAATTAATGTATATTGAGTCCATTCTGGGGTTTGGTTGTTAGTTTTTAAACCTGTAAATTTCCATATCATTGTTTCCACATATTTTTAAATCCTTTAGATTTTACGTAAAAAATTAATCCTTTTTCTGTATTTAAAATTTATGACGCGGGAATTTTTTGTAAGTAAACATATTTACTGTGTAACCACTAGTACAATGAGAACGGGAATTAGTAATATCAAATATATTTGATTATCGAGATAAACATGCTCTGGGTTTGTATATTTAAGTTATTCGAGAGACCAAATTTTTTAAATGATTTAATAAATTAAGTGTTACAGTGTAGATTTATAGATTGGAGTTAGTCAAAAAAAGTTTTAATTATGAAACCGTTTATTAGTTATGCATTGGTTACAGTTTTAGCAGGTAAAGTATATTATAACAAAACCTTATGAACCAGTTCCTCTCAATGCTCTGAAATAATATGAAGTATTTTTAATAATATATTTTTGGGAATAAACTAAAAATTTTAAAATATTTTTGAGCATAAAAGATTTCCAGCCCAGACTTTTCAGAACAATGATTTGTAACTTTCTTTACTTTCTTCTGAGATTTATTTAAATATATAAGTTTAAACAAGGTATTTGTAATAATCACTCACTTGCTTATTGATACAGACGAATTAATACAATCTATAGCTACCAACATTTCTCTCATCCAATTCATATGGGTCTTCTTCATTCCTTGAGCCCTTGTCAGGCGTGGTGCCACTCTAAATATTGTTAACTTGTTGTCTTCATTGGCTCGATCCTATGCCAGATGAATGGCTTCATGCAGGGATTTCTCATCAAAGTCATTTGGTCTACTCATCCTTTTGGGATCTTCACTTGGATTTTCGGTCTTTTATCTTTCCTTCTACTACCAATAGTTCCATAGTCCCCGTTCTTCTGGCTATATCGCCAAAGTAATTTGGGTATGATGGATTTACTTTTTTAATAGCCTGTCATTTATATGGAGCTTTCCCAGAATTGACAAATTGGTTCTGTGGTCTGTCCAGAATACACGTATAATTCTCCTGTAGACCTACATTGTAAAAATTCAATCTTACTTCTATCAATTCTTTTGAGAATCCATGTTGCAGCTAAGTATGTAGTAATAGGAAATATAAGGGCATTGACCAACCCGAGCTTAGTATTCTTTGTTATTGTTTGGTCTTTCCATATTTTAAAATAATTTAACTGTTGTGGTTCGGGATATTGCTAATCTACGCATATTTCTGAGGAGCTGTCGCTATTTTTGGTTATCGGGGAGCCCAAGTATACAAGTCTGTCTACCACTTCGAAATTTGCCACTTATTTTATGTGCGATAGATTTTTATTTACCTTGTCTACGATCAAAATTTTTGTTTTTCCGGTCCGAATTCTTTGCTTATTTGACTTAGTCGTTAAGTGACGGTACTCATTTCGATATTAAAACTTTCCAAAATAACACTGGCGATCTTTTGCATGCCGCAAAATACAGACTTCTGTATTTAAGATAATTCGCCAACGCACTATAGGTGCACGGCACTATAAGAAGAAGAACTCTTTTCGACATCATTCGCGGCTAGTATAATATATGTCATTTGCATAACAGAGATTCTCTGTCATGTACACATTCTTTCAGTACTTTCCTCATTATATGTTATATAATAATGCTGATAGTGTGCAGTCCTGTCTAGCCTTTCTTTGTTTTGAACGCGTTTGCTTTATTATGAATCTGGATAAAGGTTGATTCGAACCACTCATCAGGGCATTCACCTGTAATTTATATCATGTTGTACATATCCAGTATTACATCTATGCCAATGATGCATCTTTTGAAGTGTCTTTTTTTATTCTAAGCAGTAATTTCTCCAGGTTTCTGCAATGCCCTTTATGTCAGTTTATACTTCTACATTATGGTCTTGGATAGCTTAAAGTTGTGTCTTTGTACCGTTCCAACGAACATTCATTGGACATCAATCTATGACATGCCACCGAATATTCATTGGAGATACCAATTTGTAACCTTCGAGGCTCAATTTGTAACATCCAACGTTGAGCTGCTGTTGTCAACTTGTAACCGCAAACCTTAGTTTGTTGCTACAACCTGACTAACATCACTAACAACGTTGGAGCGACAAATCGTTTCCTGTTGGACCAATTTTTAACGCCATAAACCCCTAATGTATCAATTGCAAAATTGCTACATTAGACGTTATGCGAAACACTCCCTGGCTAGCTCACTCAGGACGTGAATATGGCCTACTCTGGAGAATCACACACAAACAAGTAAAAAGAAGAAACAATACATAGTTAAATACTATATTTACCTTTTCAAATATGCTTGCCACACGTTATTTACAGTGAAGTCACTAGTGAAAGTAGGAAAAAAGCTCCTCACGGAAGCCTGCATCGATCGGGTTAGGTTATCGTGTTGAACTTCTCGTAGCCAGAATTTCTACACGAAGAGCATTTGGCTGATAGTGAGCTCATATCGCGCATCAGAGTGCTATAGGGGAAAAGGGATGGTCTGGAGCATTGGAACGCGGTGGAGCGATTCCAGATTACACGAATCAATACACGTTGCTTGAATGAATTGTAACACCTAAGGAGTGTGCAAGTCTCTCTGACTGGGTTTAATCAAGGTGCTGGCAGATATAGTTACCCAATAGTAATATTGGGTGGAATGCATAAAAAGTAGTAGATGCTATTGCTTCAGCAAATAGTATCTGGTTTGTAGCATTTACTTATACATAAAAGGAGGTGCTTTGTTGAAAAGACCGTACTACACAACCGAAGTACTTGCTACTGACCTGAAGGTTCTACTACTAAACGTAACGCCAGCCGTAGTGCCCTTGTGCGCATCACACCAATTGTATTAGAATTAGTTTTTCATGTGATTTTTCAACTTTTTATAAAGATTTTATAATAATACCTAAATATATATACATGTGCAGTAAGCTAAAATAAGTCTTACCTGCCCCCTACTCTCCTACTTTCCCATTTAAAAAATCAAAGTTATGACTGAAGAAAGATTGCTTAAAGTTCGAAATTGATCCTATAATATACTATGATTATTTTAAAAATCGACCTCTTCGAGTGTTTTGCTTATATACTAAAAATAAATGAGTTAATATGGGGGTAAAACTGCACGATTCATGATAATTACCTGAATATTTTACGATAAATATCGTCATTGTATATTATTCCTGGTTTGTAGATTTTTCTACGACGAACATTCATAAATGCTGCCATTAAACAAACATAACAAAAAACACCTAAGCCGAAGTTGTTTATCTACCAACTTCACCTAAACTGAAGCAAATTCTACTAAACTAGCAAATACTTCAAAAGTACATCCTTCTATGTATCTGGTAAATAGTAGTAATACTAAGGAGGAAAGCAAAATGCTTTGTAAGTGTAGCAAGTACTACAAAAATGTAGAATTACTTGAAGCATTAGCAGATACTACGTTTTATGCATTCCACCCATTGTGTTCATTTAAGTTAAATATCTAATTTTCAAAGGCATATGTATTCCATTTTTTAATAAAATAATAAATGATGAAACGGTTTCCAGTGTGAGTACATAATAATAGTATATGGTAAATGAGTCAATAATCACAATACTAAGTAGTTTTATTTTTCATTGATGGTAAATTTTGGGGCGGCCGGCTTAAACGCTTACAATATATGCTTTATCATCAGATCCTAGTACGTTGGTCTTTGTTTAGTAAAAACTAGAGCTAAAAACAACATGAAATAGACTATGAACAACTAAATCAAAATGAAATAATAATAACTAATAACAAAATAAGGAAGCAGCTAAAATAACATAATAGTTTAATGTAAAAAATGTTTATTAATAAAATTCTTTTCTTTGAGCTTTCAATTCCACAAAACGATTAATACCAACATCAAATTTGAAAAATCGGGTCATAGAATCTTCAATAGATAGTATATTAGATTAATCTCGTTGGACAGCAGCCCGTTGAAAATAAATAAATAAAATAGCCAAGTTACGTAGCCTGTTTTGTCCCGTAGTTTCTTAAATAGGTTTTTATTAATTTTAGTTTTAAAAATCATCTTTCAGCACTAGCTGTAGTCACAGGTATTGTAGAAAATAACATGAATGCAGTACATACTTCAGAATAGTTGCATAACAGAGAATTATTCTTTATTATTAAGTAATCAGCAAGTTCTTTAATACATGTTGCCTTTTCTATTTTATCTCTAAAGGTAAACCGAAAACTGAGAATTCTTCTGGCAAATGATTCAGATATTTTTTTTATATATTTCATAAGTTTCATGTTGAAATATATTTCAAAAATATATTTCAACAAACTCTAGTACTTTATTTAATAGACAGTATCATTTAAAATTTGCGTCATTTGTCTTATTACAAAACACCTAAATTGCAAACAATTTCATTCATTGGAAGGAAACGCGATTTCAGTTGATTAATAATGATTACCAATACACGATAAAATATGTTCACTTTGAAAAACTTTCTGGATCTTAAAAACGCTAATCTTCGTTAAAACGGCGTTTCACCTTCCTCTGACGAGTTTTAGAAAACTCGTGGTTAATGGATCACTTTTCTGCAATACTATTTGCTTCCTATCTTATATACTATATTACGTTGATACCTTTACAATTCTTCCAAACATATTTTCGAACGTTTTAAGTTATTTGAAAGATCGGTAGTGGCTTTCCATTGAAATGCTTTAATCTGAATCGATAGTTTGCAGAATTTTGCTGTAAATAAACTATAACATAATAAAATTGTAGTTTTGAATCATCTTAACCCTGCTGTACCGTTCGAGTCAACTATGCAAATATACCGTTCGGGTCAATATGACCCATCTATGGTTTACGATCCTTAATCTAGATAAATTAAGCTAATGGTGCTAAACAAAACTTTATTAACAAATAATTATAGTTAATTAAACAAAAATTATGTTGCTAATGTACATAAAACTTTATTAACAAAATAAAAGGCATTTTTTTTCTTTCCCAGCAAAGACTAAGAACAAATGTTTGTTACATATACAACAAAAAATATTAGTCTTGTTATCGTTTATAGAGCAAAATTTACAGCGTGCTCGTTTAGCAGGAGTTGGATTGTCCACAGACGGTTCACTGGAATTTCCATCTGCTCTACTCGCTTCTGTTCGTGTTCTTTTTACCAGTTTTTGTGAGTCTTTAGTTCTTGGTAAATTTTTTCTGGAAAGGATAAGTGGTTTCACCAGTGTTTTTCCCAATTCCCAAAGAAAAATTCGCCGTTTTGTAAGTTTATTGGTGTTCCATTGGGGATTTATTAATATCCATCAAACGAATGTAGGCAGAAATATCCAGCATATTATAAAAAAAACAATTATAGGCCAGCGATTTTTCTTTCTATTAGGTGTGTGTATATGTACCAACAAGCTGCTCTAGAGTATCCACTTCTGCCTTACTGGAATTGTAATCTAAAACAATTTGGGGCTTTTTGTTATTTGTGTCACTAATAGTCTTATCATGATGCAAAGTACTCATAAGAATAACATTTTTATTCTTTTGGTTGGTTAACTATAGTTAACAACAGTGGTATCTTGCGTGAAATAAAAAGACGAACTATGAACTTCTTTATTCACAATTTGTGCTGGAAGCTTTAGCTTATTTTTTCTTATAGTCTTCAGCATTGCATTTTTTCTTTGAAAAGAAGTTGTCCTAAATTGTATGATGTAAAAATGTTATCGCAAGTAATATCGTGGACTTTCAAATCACTACACAACTCGCACACCACATGCATTCCCACAAAGCACAAAGCCCAAATTTCATTTCGCTGGTTTGCTTCGAATGTACTATTTAAAGGGACAGCGGCTTTAAAGACAACTAATTGCTCGTCGACGGTAACATTTTCATCAGGATTAATAAAATTTGGTAGATTTTCTACCCTTTTCCCGAACTTCACGTATTGTAATTTAAGTTTATCATTACGTCTCCTATCCTATCTAGTAGTCTTGTTATTAAAACGTATTACTTACAAATTTTTGTAAATACTTCCAGGGACATTGTTGCTCGAAATACACTACGACCAGTTTCTTCATTTCAGAAACTTTAAGTTGATTCGCCATATGACTTAAAAACTCCAGCTAACAATAAAAGACCAATGTATGATTGAAAACCAGTTCTATCCAAATCTTTCCAGTTGGTTCAAAAAACAGGCTGTCCATCCATGCTGGTCATATTTACAATTTGGTTTGCAACTATGTCAGAAAAGAGTGCGTCAAATGAATTTTTGATATCAAAAATACGTGCACATGCATACCTTGTAACTCTTGAAGCATTATTTATAACATTGGCTGTGGAAAAACGACCGCGTTGATAAGGAGGATCGAGAGACCACTGGATATTACCGTCTTTTGAAGGAACTGTTACAGAAGGTTCTACAGGATGTTGCACGTAAACAGAACAGCAGAATCATCACTACTTTCTTCCTCACTCTCACTACTTGTATTGTTTTCTGTTTTTGATATGCACTCATCACTCTCTGACACGTTCGCCAGCTCGCGAAGCTCCTCTTCGGTTAGCATTCTTCGATGCGACATTATCAACATGCAAACATAGACTGAAATTTGAAATGTAAATGTAAAATGAATGCGCTTGGCATATCACTGTCCTACTAGCCTACCACTTGTTTGTCACTTACACTTCCTTCTACGTGATATGCCCTGCAAATGACATCGACTAGCTACACTACACATTTTTTACAAGTTCTAGCTTGCACACTGACTGACAAACTGTTAGAAAATATATAAAATACTGCCAACTAATGGCTCATATTGACCCGACCGTACTATAGGTAAAAATTTAATTATCAAAAAAATCAGAAAGTTGATTTTTTTATCTCGTATGCAATTGAAAGACCTCATATTAGGTAATAAAGTCACCAAACATTAGGCCACGTAATAATAATGTGCAAAATAAGAAATACATTTGTTTTGGGTCAAATACACCCGAACAGGACAGCAGGATTAAATGAAATAAAGGATTTTTTCACCTAAGAAGGACCAGATAAGCGGCGATATATTTTACACTACCTTTATGAATAACATTTTACTGCTCTGTATTACTTTATTTTTATCGTATAGTCTTTTCAAACCGAGCGATTCATAGATGGGGTCCGGCCTCTAATTATCCGGATAGACAATTCAGATAGTGACGACTCTGCTAGTGAAATATCAGACAGTGAATAGGACAAATCGTTTGCTAAAAAAGAAGAAACAAAAAATTGTTTCAGGAATTCAATTCAAACTTTGTGGTGTGTTTTAGTCAAATGATAAAGTACCTTTGGTCTAATTACTGGACTGCATACTCTCAATAGCTTTGGTATTAATTACTGGACTACACGTGTTTAAACATTTTGTTTTGCTGAAAACTGGGAAACTGATTTAGTGTCAATTTGTTTCAAGGTTATATTTAATACAGTGTCTGAAGAAAGTAAAGTCTTGGATGTATTTTATTCAAATTTGGACATACCAGCAACTTGGCAAGTATTTTCCAATTTAACTGCATGCAAAACCATTCGTATAATTTTTACTCTAGGCAAAATAGAGACTTATAGAGACTTGATGAACATTTGATGTCGACAAATAATTTCAATTATTCGAAATATTCCGTCCTACTTCTTTTAACCTCCCTGTATATACATATTATATTCATTTTATTTGCCTTTGATACAGTAAAATCCAATATTATTACTGAACATAAAATACAGGAAATTAAATATTTTTACTTTTCAAGCGATCGAAATTAAATATTAACGCCTCACTGTTTGAGGCCGACTGATCATATCTTAATTACATATCGGCATTTATAGGGTAAAAGGAGTTTAGCTTCATTTCTTTCATCTGATTCGCAATTTAATAGAATCGTTTTCATTAGTGCTTTTTGGCCTTTCAACAAACCGAACTTTTAATGAAAAAAGCATCATAACGTCCTGCTCATCTAGTGGAGTTCAATGTTTTTAATGATATCGTAAAGTTAAAGCCTCCTTTTCTTTATCTGATATAAAACTTGATAATATATTCCATCTTTTGGTACTATGGCCAAAAACATTATAAATTTGTTGAACTGTTTCAAAAAAATGTTGCTATGAATAAGCCCTCTTACTGCATAATTAAGTACTGAGTACTTAGAGGTACATTTTTGTCATTTATGTATTTGATAATTTGGTTAGGCATTGCTAAAGTTGTTTGGTCTTTAATTCATGAAATCCTACAAATAACTATTAAAGGACGAGCGCCTTTGGAATTCCGTTTTCGTCTTTTTAGATCATACAATAACGGTAAAGTTCGCACATTTCTTCTTTTTCTAGTTCATATCCGTTTCGGATGTTGGAAATCATATTGGCAATCATAACCTTGCTCGGTACGGCTCGAAACAGCTCTGTTGAGGTTTTCTTAAATCATGTTCTAAAATTCCGCAGCCATGATATTCTCCTTCTTACCTTTGACTTTACTTGCAATATAGACTGTAGCAGGGTAGTAACGGTGCTGATTTCTCATAACGTGTCCCAGATATTGCAATTTTATGCGTTTGATCGTAAACACAATCTCTGGTTCCTTCTTCATTTTTCCTAGAACTTCCTTGTTCGTGATCCTTGCTGTTCATGATATTCTCAGCATTCTTCTATAAAGCCACATCTCAAATGCTTCAAGTTTTTTAATAGTGGTGTCTGTAAGCGTCCATGCCTCCGCCCCGTACAACAACACAGAGAAAACATAGCATCTCAAATGTCTCATTTTTGTATCAAGGGATATGTTGTGACTTTTTAAGATGGCGCTCATTTTGTTAAAGACCGTTCTTGCCTTTCCTATGCGGCACTTTATTTCGTGTACATTGCTCCACTGTTCGTTTAATATAGTTCCCAGGTAGCAATACTGTTTTACTCGCTCTATCTGCGTCCCATTAATGTATAGATGAGCCCCGTTTATATTCTCCTTGCTGATAATCATTTGTTTCGTTTTGTGGGTATTAATGTTTAGTCCATACTGTTGACTGTACTCGTTTATTCTGTCCATTAGCCTCTGAAGTCCCTCTAAACTATCTGCTATCACCATGATGTCGTCGGCATATCTAACATTGTTTACTCTTTCACCATTTAGAAGGATGCCTTCGTCTATTCCGTAAAGAGCCTCGTTAAAAATTTTCTCTGAGTAAATATTAAATATCAACGGCGATAGGATACATCCCTGTCTAACTCAACGAAGTATTTTTATGCGATCTTATGTGATTGCACATTTACTAACACTATATTTAGGCACTTTACTAACAGTATTAATGTTAAAATTAAATGTAAAAGATCATATTTCGAATATTTCTATAAAATATAAGGGACATGCAAAAATATTAACAACTAAACTATATGCATATTATAATGCTGAATTAGTTGACATCTCAAATATTTTATGTTTAATATAATGTTTTATTTAATTCTTCCTTTTAATGCTGATTTTTTATGTTCTTTACAGTTGACTTACTAGCTACCACAGGGGATATCACAATGACATGGACTTCGCCAATGTTTTCGAAATTGTATTCAAACAATTCCAATGTCAACCCATTACCTCAACCCATCACCAAGGAGCAAGATGCTTTAATAGCGTCATTGATTAATGTTGGAGCAATGGTTGGAGGAATTCCATTTAGCTACTTATCTGAAAGTTATGGAAGAAAAACTGCACTTTTAGCTATTGGTATTTTTCATATTGTAGCTTATGCAACAATGGCTTTTGCTCAATGCGTGGAATTGTTCTACTTCGGAAGAATTCTTGGAGGTTTAGCTGTAGGTGCTGGATATACTTTACTTCCCCTATATATTGCTGAAGTAGCAGAAGAAAATAAAAGAGGACCTTATTCTGTCACTTTGGCTATATTTTGGGCACTAGGAAATTTTCTACCATACCTGATAGGTCCATTTCTTACTGTTCAAATATTCAATCTTTTCAATCTTTGCGTTGCGTTGCTATTTTTTGTTACTTTTCTTCTGTTGGGGACAGAAACGCCATTTTATTTAGTTGGTGCAAATAAACTAGAGGAGGCACAAAAAGTATTAATGTTACTCAGGGGTAAAGAGAGCACTGGGGTAGAGGGTGAATTACAGCACATAAAATACTCTTTAGATCAGGAAAGGCAGACAGAACCGGAAAGCTTGTGGAAAATGTTTATAAATCCGGGAATTAAGAAAGCGTTTGTTATTTCATTATCTTTAATAATATTTCAACAACTGTCTGGTTGGAATGCTATCACTTTTTATCTCCAACCAATTTTTGAAATGTCAGGTAGTAGCATACCTTCAGATATTAGCTCCCTCGTTGTTGGTGCTGCCATATTTTGTTTTAGTTTACCTGCCCCGTACTTGACTGACAAATTAGGACGAAAAACTCTACTTATCTTTTCTAGTATATTTCTTGGTTTATCATTACTTTTATTAGCTGTATTCGTTTTTGTACAAACCAGAACAAATTTAAACACCGAGTTTATGTCTTGGGTGCCAATCACTAGTTTAACAATAGCAGTGTTCGCCTTTCAAAATGGTTTAGCCGTCTTACCATGGACAATTTCCTCAGAACTATTTCCTAAAAATGTTAAGAAATTATCATCTACTTCCACAAATGCGGCATGTTGGTTAACTTCTTTTATAATGACGCAATTCTTTAACGATATGGTTCGCGGTTTTGGTGTCGATGGTACCATGTTTATGTTCGCAGTCTTCACTTTCCTTTGTGCAATTTTTACTTACTTCTACGTCCCAGAGACTAGGAAAAAAACGTTTGTAGAAATTCAAAAAATATTACAGAGATAATCGAAGGCCACAAATATTGGAGTATAACTGAAAGTAGAAACGATATACATTATCAGACGAAATCAAGCTAAAACAAAAAAGATATGGATATCTACAGTATGCAAATGATAAGGATAATACACAAAAGAGTATAATCGTAAACAGCGAACGACATATTCTTTTTAATTTTATTTTTTAGATTACACTTTTTATATTGTGGCGGATTCACAAATAACTGCCTTCCACACTCTGATTGACTGTGCTGCTAAAGCGAGGAAACGTTGGCTCGGAGTCCAGAGGCTGGCAATAAGAAAGAAGAAGAGATTCAGTCAGCTGATCCTAGAGAACACGGTTTAAATCCGACAAAAACTCATGCTGTTTTCTTAGTTGTTTTAGTATGTAGTTTGTTCTTAATAAATCATTAAAGTAGTTTTAAATTAGTTTTTGATTCCTGCAAACTGACAATTATTGATGTTGCGTTAGGAATGTCCTACGGTTAATTTCGTAGGGCAATTTGGTTCGAAAAATACAAATATTTTGGCTTTATCGATTTCCTCAGTGACCAATTCACCTGTACGCTAATTTTCTGCCAGGGTCGAGTGTCCACCGGTTCAGCAAACAAACTGTCCAAAACAGCAACTTAGTTTTTTATTTCACTTTATTTTCAATTTAAAAGGTTAACTTCGGCCGAGCCTCACTACAAAAACAAAATTATTCTCCGGAAAAAAGTTTGCACTAAAATAAGCGAAAATAACTAACTTTTAAGCACATTTGTATGTAAGTCCTGTCACGGTCGCCAAATGTTAGGTTAGGAATGTCCTACGGTTAATTATTTTCGCAAGAGACTCCTGGTTCGGTAAAATACAAAATTAAATTTTAATTACAAAAAATTACTTTTGTATTAAAATACACAAATATGATGACAGACCAGGTTCAGTAAGTTCAGAGTCATCAAGTATAAAAAGTAAGTGCAAATTTAAATTACCTTCAATCAAGTTCAAGAAATTTAATGGATACTTGAAAGATTGACTTCCTTTTAGATCACAGTTCAAAGTAGTGCATGAGGATACATCAACTGATTTGACTGATAAGATAGCTTATTTGAGACAAGCCACTGTAGAGGCTAGTAAGGTAAGAATATTAGTGGAGAGTTTTCCTGCAGTAACCGACAAATACTCAAAAATTATGCAGAGTTTGCAGTATAGGTTTGGCAGAGAGGATCTCCAGATTGAAGTGTACATTAGAGAGCTCTTAAAGTTAATTTAAAGTCGAGTTTCTAGTAGTTCTTGTAATATTTCTGCTCTTTATGATATGATTAAGAGTCAACTTCGTTCACACTTCGACATTCTGACATTCAATATTGAAACTTTTTAATGAATGGAATTGAAACGTTTTATAACTTAGAGACTGAAGCTTTCCTCAGATTATATTTGACCCTGTTGCTTTTACCTGTCCAGTATCTCTGCTACAGAAACTTTGGGAGAAGCGCCAGGGATGGGATGCTCTAGTCGAGAACTATATGGCTAAAGAATTTTATAATTGGGTTACTCATATTCCTGAACTGTCGAGTATTGAGATTCCATGCTGGATTTAGGCTGGACACATGGAAGCTGATCATTGGAGCTTCACACATTTTCAGATGCAAGTAAGAAAGCTGTAGTATTTTTAAGAGTTGTTCGGAATGATGTCTCAATTATTACTCCTGTAGCAGCAAAGAGTCATGTGGCCCATTTGAAGAAGATTTTATACCCAGATTGGAACTGTTGGTAGCCACTATTGGTGTTAGACTTTATTAGTCAGTAAAAAGGTAATTTTCTCAATATGTTAAGTCTTTTTTTGGAGTGATTCTGTTCTTTCTTGGATTCAACATAAGGATGACTGGTTTGTTTTTGTTTTGTAATAGAGTTCAGGAGATTAGAAATTAAGCCAATCCTGGGTGTTGGAAATATCTACCTTGTTCACTTAACCCTGCCGATCTTCCATCAAGAGGCTGTGGTATTCGGCAATTATACGACTCTCTATGGTGGAAGGGCCCAGAATGGTTGTACAGAAACGAAAATGATTGGCTTCAACAAAAATTCGAAGTTAATGAAAAAGAAGTCTGCACGGAGAAAAAGAAAAATCTGGTTCGTCACTAGTGAATATGACATCTGACGATTGGCATCTGCATTACTTTTCTCAGTACATAAAACTTTTAAGAATAAATAGCTTGGGCGCTACGATTTTGATATAATGCAAGAAATTCAAACGAAAAACGTACAGTCGAATTATACCACAGAAGCAAACTAAATTAAAAAAACTTTAAAGTCACATTTGTGTATTTTAATACAAAAGTAATTTTTTGTAATAGAAATTTAATTTTGTATTTTTTCGAACCAGAGTCTCTTGCGAAAATTAACCGTAGGACATTCCTAACGTAACAATTGGTGACTCTGAGAGAGAAAAACCGTAAGTACAACGTTCACATATAGTCCATCAAAACTCGTGCCGGCAAACCGACCAAACAACTCCAAACGATATCAATATTACATTGTGCGAAGGCGATCATGACTCGTTAATTGCACGGGTAAGTATCAAAGCGCCAGAATTTTGACGCACTAAAGTAGAATTATGGTTTCTCCAGCTAGAGGAACAGTTTCGACAAACAAAAATCACTATTGACAGCTGTAAGTTTGACTATATTATTGCTAGTTTGCACAGTGAGGTATTTACAGAAGTTGCAGATATGTAAAGAATCCAACTTCTGCCAATGCCTAAACATAACTTAAAGCTTGACTTCTCGACATGCATGGCATGAATCAGATGAAAAGTTCTACCGGTTAATGGAACTCATTTTGGGTGATCTAAAACCAACCCAACTTCTCCATCGGTTGAAAGCTTTGATCACGGATAGCATTAGTATGCAAGTTCTTAAAAGTTTTTGATTGGACCGCCTACCACCTTCAGTTCAAAGCGTTATATCTATTCTCGGTGCAGTTTTCGAGTTATGTCTGTTACCGAAAGCCTTATCGAAGACACAACAGTGGCTGCATTAAGTAGTCAAGTAAATGCTTTATCCAAAAGATTAACTGTATCTGAAGAAGGGCAACAGCTTCAAATAGTGACTACCAAGTCATCATATGACGAGCAGTGATACTATCATTGAAAATTTGGCTCCCAAGTAAAGAAATGTAGACCACCCTGCAAATTAGAAAAGAAGCGCAGTAAACAGCGGCAACCGCAGCCACTTAGATACCATGTCGCCTCTTCATTACCGATGATGTGCTCCATCTTCAGTTTCTTGTGAATACAGGGGCAGAGCTAAGTGTGCTTTCACATAAAATCTGCACTGCGTCTTGTCACCGCGGGGTAATTAATAAGGGTCTAAGCACCTTCTGTACCACCGTGTGCTCTGTAGAGGGCTTCGAAAACATCAACGATAGCTCCTCTACTTAAGTCAATTTTCAAGGTATGGACTCGAAAATGTTTTCTTCTGGTATCTTGCCTTGAAAAAGGCAAGATATTTCTTACATGACAAAGGTTAAGTCGAAATAAAAATACCAGGTTGCAGTAGAATAACATCTCAGCCACAGAGTATGGGAAAATCTAAAAACAAGAAAGCAGAGCCCCGAGAGCACTAAGCTCTCGGAGAGCCCGTGAAGGACTGACTTATTGACCTGAAAATCGCCTATTTTTATACTTTCTGAAGTAGCGATTAGGGATTTCCAGGTCAGGGAGGGGCCAACGTGAAAAATAAGGGGCGGGGCGATGCGTCTCGAACGTGAACTAGTCGCGTCCGAGAACATCCCCCCTCCTCTGGAGGCTCTGTGGCTGGGAAAAAATTTATTGAAAATTCAAAAATATCAAATTACAATAAAATACATGTGAAGAATAAGTAAAAATACATAAAAATGTATGCAAAGTATGAGACATAGAAAAATACATGAAAATGTAAATAAAATTAAAAATTGTCTTTAAGCAAACTCACTTCACAGCACTAATAGGGAGGTCGGTGGTGCTGACGGCATCTCCCGGCTCCTGCAAGTCCATCCTCGATCGCTGTGCCAACTCATTGACGGGTTCGTCTTCTTCTCGGTCGTCCGGATCCCATCTGCCATATCCAGGGGTTTCGCAGAGTACCAGGATGCCGAAGCCTACGTGGTCGTCCAACCACTTTCGGTAGGGGGGCGATGACTGGGTCTACTTCTGGACTTCCATTAGCATCAGGGGCTTCTGACTTCGAAGAAGTTTGGCTCGTCAAAGGTGCCTGCACGTCGAAGGCATCCGGTCTGCAGAAGGCCTCGATGTCGGAGTGTTAGAGTATAGCTTTCTAATACTCCGTGGTTCTCCCCATTCTTCTCTTGCGTCTACCATGATGGTAAAGAGTAATGTGAAATCAGGGTTCGATTTCGGAGAGGGAGCCTGATACATAACGATACGGGACTCATCCGAGGACCCGTAATCGGAATAAGTACACTCTAAACTCTACTCTTTAAAGAGGATCCATTGGAGGGCAAGTCTGGTGCCAGCAGCTGCGATAATTTTAGCTTTAAACAGCGTATATTAAAGTTGTTGCGGTTAAAAAGCTCGTAGTTGAATTAGTGGCGCACCTAGATTTTGTATGAGGGTTGAAATTTTTTTGCTACCTCCATTTTAAGTTCCTAAAATTTGGGTTTTGGTTTAATTTAAAGTACCAAAGATAACAGTGCCAAACCCACCCTCTCTTACTTATGCGCATTTGACTGTCGCACGTACCGTACTCGGTGCGCGAAAGTGGGGTGGCGGCTTTAAGGATGACGAATAAGGATGATTCTTGAAAATTCTCTTATCTATATCTTATCTATTATTCTAAAGCTATTTTCTTGTGGCATTTTAAAGTAATTACTATTTTAATGGGAATAAGCCACAATTGAAGGATAAAATAAGTTTAATAACGTTTGCCATTAATCCAACTTGTAAATACAATACATTTTGAAGACGTATACGCTATCGCCGTATTCCCGTTTTCCTCCGCCAATCCTGCTGGTCCAAGGCATGCTCCTCCTCCAAACCTCTCGATTCCATCGCTCTTCTAATTCCTTCATTTCATGAGCGTAGGGATCTACCTCTTGTTCTTCTTCCAGGGAGCTTCCATTTGTGTAGATTTTGGTGTCAACGTTCGTAAGACATTTTCAATAGGTGTCCAAACCATTTTAAACGTCTTCTTTATATTATATGACCGTTTCTGTAGCATTCATGTTAATTCTTATAGATTTGTTGATCTTGCTTTGGACTATCAACTAGCGTGTTATAAGACGTCCTGCCGGGAATTTCCACGCGTAAATTAAAACCTTAAAATAAATTTATTTTAAAGTAAAATTTTGGCTAACTTCCATAAAAATGGTAAATTATTTTATAAAATTAAATTAAAATTAAATTAAAAAAATCGCAAATAATATTGATTTACTTTATATAGGTATTG